CATCATCAATATCAACATCATCATCACCACCATCATCATCAATAGCAACATCATCATCACCACCATCATCATCAATAGCATCATCATCATCATCATCATCACCATCATCATCAATAGCATCATCATCATCATCATCATGACCGTCGTCTCCATCCTCATCCTTATCCTCATCCTCCCCACTGCCGCCCACCACCACCGCCGCCGCTGCCGCCACCACCCGGCATGCTGGTGATGTCGTCGAGGTAGCTGCAGCGGGAATGCAGCCCTCTCCGAGGTCCTGTGGTGTCTGATGAGGCATCCAGATTCGCAGCAGCCGCAGCTTGGGCAGAAGCTTTGAAGAGCCTGGCAGAGGCCGGGCGTGGGCTGATCTGATGCTTTGCAATCCAGTGGAAGCGTGAGGCGGCACAGCGCAGCCACGAGATGGAAGGCCTGACGTAGTGCTTTCGCTTGTCCAGATTGTTGCTAAGTCTGCATCTGTACCTGTCTGCTGAAGTCAGCAGGAGGAGCAGCAGCAGCAGCAGCAGCAGCAGCAGCAGCAGCAGTCGTGGTAGTGTAGTAGTGACTGTAGTGGCACTACTGCTAGTGCTGCTCGTGGCCTGTGGCCATAGGCCACGGGGGTGCCCGCACGGTGCGACCACGGCGAGCCTATTCACTCCACAGATGCATGCACTGTAGACTCCAGCCCCTAGACCAGGTTTCTCCTGCAGACATCATGCCTGCTACCATCGTCTCCCCTCGGAAACTCACATTGCACCGTCGGCATTCACGGGGCGGCTCTTGCAGCAGGAGTGCCGCCTCGTGCCAGCATGAAGCTTCACCAGGTGCGGAAATGTTCCGACAGGTTTGGCAGCGTGTTGAGTTTTTTAGAGGCCGTTTCCTGGCTGATGCACGGCTTCCTTTGGCCCGTGCTCCCATTTCCCAGGACACACGGCTTTTTCTGTGGGCGGCAGTCGCCTGCATCTTTCTTTCAGCTGCTTGTCCGCTCTGGCAGGATTCTGTTGGCGCTTCGTCTGTTGCAGCCTCATATTCTTCCATAAGTCCCTTTGGTTCTACCAAGGGAAACAAACGATTCGAGGCTGTCCCTGCGGCTGCTTGCTGATGCGAAGCCAACGGGCTTCTTTGTTCTCGAGGACGGGGAGAGAAAGGTTCCAGCCGTGAGACCAGGAAGGCCGCCTTGCTGCAGGATCTGGAGAAGGGGGTGCAGGAGCTGGGAGGGCAGATGCCAAGCAAGGCCAGGGGCTCAGTCTCGTCACGGAGCAGAGCTTAAGTTCCCGCATTAAAGCCTGCGAGGCTTTGGAAACTGCAACTTCTTCTCGGCTCCTCCAGCGACCCATAGGAGACTTCATGCGGGGATCCCGCCGCTCCAGAGCTTCGCTGCTGTCTCCTGGCAAACCAGAGGCCAGCCCTCGGCAAGGGCTTCCTCCAAACCCTGCTGAATGCGCCCGTGAAGCTGAGAACTGCGCGTCTCCGCTGGACGGAATTGGGGAGGTGGAGAGAGGGCTTTGAGAGTTTGGGGCACGGAGATATATTTCGGGCAACAGGCCGAAGATGCGATCGGATGGGCTTCGGCCGCTGCCGATCTCGGCCTCGGCCTCGGCCACGGCTCGGAGTGTCGGCTTTTCGGAGACTTCAGCTCAGGTGGACGTGGCTCACAGCTTCCCGCGGGGCCTCCTCTTGGCGGACACTTCGAAGGCGGTGCTGGAGAAGGCTCGGGGCCGTGGTGGCCGCTGGGCAAAGCTTGTGCCCCGCCAATGTGGAGGTGCCCGCGTCCGGGAGCAGCAGTCTGAGGCTAGCAGAGACGTCTCAACTCTGTGCACAGTCGTCGTCACCAGTCGTCAGACTTCCCAGGACACAGCGAGTGGAATGCATCGCGCCCGGGCCGTGGTTTAGCATCGGGTGCCGGCCCCGGACTCGACGAGCAACGAAGCCCGAGACTTGTCCACTGTTGCTTATCCGGCCCTCAAAGGCTGTTGCTCGACGTGGACGATGCCAGCCTAGGCTCCCTCTACTCTGCTTCTCTGCCCCTCTGCCTCCTCTCTGTGTGACCGATGCGATTCATGATCACTGTCGGTTGCATCTGCGTAATTCCTCGGAAATTTCGAGTGGCGCCTTACAGCATCTTGAAATTCCCTAAACCTCAACAAGCCCAGCCTTTCCGACCGTGGCAGGTGCGCTCGGTCTCCCGAGCCTGGCGGGTGGCTCCACTGGCGTGAGTTCGCAGAGTGGTCTTCACAGGCATTGCGGGTTGCAACGCCAGTGCCAGTTCAGGTTGCACGAGTTCTCTCTGCAATCGTTTGTGCCAGGTATGTCAATCGAATCGCAGTGACCGAGCCCATGGAGGTCAACCTCCTGGAGTCCAGCTTCGGTGGTGTCTAAGAGGACATCTTGCGCTTCCGGTGGAATGCCTCATGCGACAGGGTGCGACTGAGCTGACTGAACGCCGTGATGAATGTGGCAGAGACTGGCTTGGCAGTGCTGTGCGAAGTGCGCCTTGCATACATCTTCCTCTTCGTCCGTAGTATCCTCACCCAGTACAATCCTGGAGCACCATGTCATCAACTTCGAAGTCCTCGACTCCAACTTCGGCGGAACTACATGCCGGCGGAACGAACCGGCAACATATCCACTTCCAGCAGTACCGCAGGTTCCAGCATGTCAACAGCGTCAACGACCTGCTCTTCCACGTCAACTTTGTCAGCGACTGCTTCAACTTTGCTATGCTGTTAGATGATACGAACGAAGTTTTTTGGAAAGGTGGGTTGGGAGGAATCCTTCTCGAGGATGCTTCTATTTAACTGGTTCCGCCAACAATGCAGCCTATGGAGCTTCTGACAGCCTTTCGCCCCGGAGTCACCCTGCATGATCCAGGCGAGGGAAAACCTCGAACGAAAGCTGCCGCATCTACCCGGCTGAAACTCTGTTCCTCTGAGCGTTCTTAATGTCGGGTGCTTCAGTTGGGCTCAAGCGGGGCAGAGGAGGGAGTAGACTGCGCTACATAAAGCTAGGCTGATGGCGGGCCTGGGCATTCCAGCACTCAAGCAGCAGATATGGTATATGGTATTTTCAGAATTGAATACCATTACTAACTTACACCGAGATTCGTATCCAGGTTGTTACCATGACCTTGGGTGTAGCTTCCATGGTCCATCGCGGTTCCTACTTCATTCGACGAATAATGGCGAGTGTTTATGCCACTGTTGCCATCGCTGTTGTAAGTCCTTGCTGCTCTGGCAGCATCCTGCTACTGTCACAACTACGGCTGCTGCTGCTCTGCTGCTACTCTACTGTTACTGTTCTCGCTGTTTTGTTGGAAGAGTCTTGATTGTGGCAATATACAGCAAGCTAGCAGAAGTCATGAGACCATCACATTTGACGTGAAGCCGGCAACCATAGTACAGCAATCGTTTGGCTTCAACATCATCATCACGACGAGCATGTTCATCGTCGTCAATCATCTTCGTCATCATCATCTTTACAATGGCAGCAAGAACAGGGATGGCAGATGTAGGAAATCACACTGCCGACAGGGATGATCATGTTGGCGGTGACGATGGTGGACACGTTGAATAATCGTTAATTATATGATATTGATCTTTGCTGGTGCTGTTATTGATGGATATCTTCCTCGTAATGGCTGTCTTGTCGATTCGTCGGGGCAGCAAGGTGTTGAAAGATGCGCACTGGAACAGCTGCAGAGGTCAAGCTCCTGCACGAGGGCATTGGCCACACGGTCACCTGTGAGCTCAAGACTGGTCGCGGCCTGAGAGGCGTACATGCACGAGGGTATGATGATGCCCGGGCACACACACACACAGAAGTCGTATTTTCCTCCCACCTATGGGTACACAATACCTTCACAGGCGAGATGTACCGCGGTCACTTGATGAACTGCGAGGTGCGCACTTGCATCCTCATGTTAGACATACAGTCTCCTGCTGTGCCAGGACAACATGAACGCCATGTTGGAGGGTGTTACTGTCACAGGTCGCGATGGTAAGGTCAAAGCCTCGGCTCCACGGTTCCGCTGGCCTTCGGATGCCTTCGGTCATGGTGCAAGCATGTGCAAGCTGTCTGAAGGTCACCAATCTGGAGCAGGTGTATCTACGGCCATGCTCTCAGCGAGGCATGTAATCGACATTGCTTTGGCCAGATACTGCTGTGCACCAGGGGCTCGCAGATTCGATACTTCATCCTCCCAGAGTCTTACCTGCAAGCGCACTCTGCTCCTGAAACACGAAGCTCAAAGTCCGAAACCCTCTGCCCTCAGGACATGCTTCGTCACGCGCCCATGTTCAAAAAGAAGGCCGACAACGCCAGCTTCGATTTGTAGAGTCTCGAGAGTTGCGACTGTCAGGGCCGTGGTGCTGGTCGCGGTGTCTATGGCCCTGGTGGCAAGGCCGGGTCTCAGGTGGAGCTCTTCCTTGACGAACTGTTCAAGATTATCTTCTGGTCTATCACTGCATGACTACGTTACTACTTATTACATGCTTCTGATGCCAGGGACGTGGCAAGGGCCTGGCTGCTCGTGCACGAACCGCCGCCGCGGCCACCAGGAAGTAAACGGCGCGGAGAGGCCCGGACCGTGGCCTAGAAGGTGAAAGAAAGCTTGGCGGTTTAAGTTAAGTTTAGGTTGTGCATGGCTTTAAGGCTTTAGGTTTTAGGGGCGTTGGGACTGTTGGGATGTTTGCCGTGTGCTTTTCTTGGGTCAGAAGGCCCGATCCTGCAGCCTACATCCCCTGCGAACTCATGCAGCCCCTTGGCGGAACATCACAGTGTCACAGGTGCCATTGAGGTGCTGTGTTTTTGTGATTTCGTCAGGAGAGTGATGCAACAGCTGGCTGCTCTGCAGCGCAAGAAGCTGTTGAATGTACTTGGTGCCAACGAAGTTTTGACGAACAAAACCTCAAATCGCTGACTGAGCGCAGTGCACATATGAGATGGATGTCAGTAGCGCGAACTTATCGGTTCACCCAGCATAAGGGGCATGGCAAGCCGGGCCGGATTAAGAATTTCGGAAAGCTTCGCAGCTACTGGCAATATCCATCTGGGAGCCATCGGGCAACGGGGGCGAAGCGGAGCTATGCGGCGTTTCCCTGCTGCGAAAGCGCAAAGTTATCGCAAACAGGGCGAAGGTACGGATCCTTGCATGTCGTAAACGTCTGGCACTCTGTGCTCTTTTCTGACGTGACCATGTGACCATTCTAGTGTCTGCAATGGATCAAGCTGCACCCGGTACGCACTGCAAAAAGGCAGCTGGCATGAGATCCCATCGCAGTTTCGCAGAGGTCGAAGAGGAACCCGACGTATATAGGATCCTAAGTCCGAGCTATATCCGTGAGTGCGCAGATGGGCCCCTGATGGCTTAGTCGCCATGGAGCAGGAGAGCGAGAAAGACCAGGCCAGAGGCGACGCGGAAGGCCAAGCCCAAGGCCAAGCTCGGGCAGAGGCGGCAGAGCAGGCGGTGCTGCAAACGGCGCCCCACAAGGGAACCTGCGACGCGCTCTACTTCTCAGCTGATAGAAGTCGGCTTCTCACCGCAGGAGCTGATGGCCGACTGGCGTGTCTCGAGACAAGGGAGACAGAGACCTCCATGAGCAGAAGTTGGGCGCAGAAGATCACACACAGCCTGAGGGTGACTGCAGCTGCTGTTTCCAGCGATGCACGAATGTTGGCTGTTGCAGAAGAGACCGCCTCTGGATTTCAGGCATGGGTCCATCTGCTAGATGCTAAGGGGCGCATTGTTCAAGGACAGAAGCCCCGAATTGCGGGCAGATTTACTTTAGACATCCGTCACTTGTCGTGGCACCCCAGCTTGCCATACCTTTGTATTGCGACCGACGACGGCAAGGTTGACATCTGGCATGAGAGCAAAGGCCGCAAGCAACTCTTCAAGGGCGGAGGCGGCGGAGGCCCTGGCGCTGCGGGCGGTGTCCGCTGTGCCTGCTTAGACGACAAGGCCGAGAAGATCGCCGCGGCCTTCGCTTCAGGAGACCTGGCTGTGGTGGATGTGGAGACCTCCAAAGAGCAGTTTCGCTCCAAGCTTTGGCCCAAGAGTGTGAGCGGCTCGGAGCGGCTTTCCATGGCATGGGCTCCCAACGGCCTCTCGGCCAAATCCTGATTGCGTGCCGGCGTTTCAGTGTCTCTACTGTCTCTACTCCAGGCAGCTACCTTGCACTTCCGGGGGAGCAGCTGCTGGCCTGCATGCCGGTTCACGTGCTGCCGCTGCACGCACGTGAACCTTTGAGGTCTGTCCGGCTCATGCCGAGAGATTTCAGCAAGGAGATGGTGCAGCTGGAAGGTGCTGGAGCAGGGCTCTTTTCCCTGGCACAAGTTTCAGATCAGGTGGCCACCGCTTCTCTACGACAATCGCGTCTTGGTCTTCGGCCCATCCCTGTCTTGCAGCGGCGGCCGTGGCGTGATGCAGTGGCTGCAGTCCTGGTTCAGGTCTCCATCGGGGCATGTGCTGGTCAGTGCATCTGCAGAGGCCTTTCGGCCACGGCCAAGTTGCTCCAGCCTTGGTCTGATTGAAGCCATAATGTGCCAACAGGCGGTGGCAGTGTGGGCACATCAACGCCTACATCGAATCATCCGCTTCGCCGTGGGCGGCCCGTTTTCTGTGTGCCCGTGATTTTGGTGCTGTCGTTCCTTGATTGATGACCGGCCCGAGAGGTGGAGCCATCCAGCATTGCGTTTGTGCCTGAGACGATCTGAGACGGGTTTGCTCTGTCACCCGCTGAGCTTTGCAGCAGTGTGGACATGTGCGGCCGTCGTGGACACGCTCTTGTGCTGCATGAGTACAGCATGAATACGTTTAGGGCGCTGAAGCCTTGGACATCGCTTGGTTGAATCGTGCAGGTGGGGGGGCTGCGACTTCGTCGCGGTGGGAACGCAGGCCCCTGCTTTGTCAGCGACATCGAATCCGGTCTTCGAGTGCCTTGCTTCGCAGGCAGGTCATTTCGCCCTGCTGCAGGCAGGAACCCGTTCTGGTCGTACAGTCAAACGGGTCTTCGGAGAACGAGGTGCTGGTTGAGGCTCCGGCAGACAAAGACCGCACCGCAGCCTCCTTAGCCGCCTTGGTCCTTGGCCAACTCCTTTGTCCGCCTGAGCTCTGCCGCCAAGGCCGCGCCGGTGGATTCCCAGGCAGCGTTCACAGGGTTCACGACATTCACGACTCACGTTGGGTAAAAACTGCTTCGTCAGGACGCCAGGGACTCTCAAGTCTCCCAAGAAACGCTACCGAGCGCCCCGAGCCCCAGCACGGAGGACACAAGCGAGCAGGCAGAGGCACAGCAGGGCCAGCAGGGAGTACAAAAGGCGACGGAAGCCAAGGAAGCTCCGAAGCAGCAGCGGTTTCAGCCCGGGGCCACGCTCAAGGGTCGTCGGCGCTTCCTTGCTTGGAACGGTTGCGGCTCACTGAAGCTGATGCTCCCAGCATCGCGGTTGGGCACGCGACCCCAAGGGGCCCAAGTGGAGGTGGACCACCACAGCTGGAGGGACCCGACAAGCGTTCGCAGCTTCAAGATTGAGGAGAATGTGGAATTGGGTGCGATCGGTCCAAATCTCTTCGCCCTCGGGAGCAACGCGTGTGGCAACTCTACAATCGCAGTTCATGTGGCCAGTCCCTGGCAGCAGGCCTCCTTCCGGTGCACACTGGCACTCGACGAACGTGCAGAAGCGTTGGCGATCAGCAGTAGCTTCGTAGCAATCGTCGTATCCCCGCAGCGCTACTTGCGAATCTTCACGCCGAGCTTCGTTCCGATCGGAGTTCTTTCGTTGGCTGGTGACATCGTCTCGATGGTAGCTCACGGGGATTTGCTGCTCGTCGTTTTTCAACCAAAGCCGAAACGCGAGCCCAATCTTCGCTTCATGCTGCTGAATGTTGACAGAAAGGAGAGGATGGAGGCTGGGCAGTTGCCGCTGTCAGAGCGTTCCACGCTGAAGTGGATTGGCTTCAGCGCAGAGGCGCAAGCCCTTAGCCTGGACTCCAAGGGGGTTCTGCGCATGCTGTGTCTGCATGGTGCTGGGGAGAACTTCGGTGGCGGCTGGATCCCCGTGGCAGAGCTACAGAAGCTATGGCCGGTTCAGGCCGAAGAGGGAGCCTTGAGTTGCGTGGAAGCTGAGCCGAAGCCGGGTCCGAGCTATCGCTTCCAGAAGGTTCCTTTCAAGCTTCCTTGCGATGGTCCCGCGGAGACGTTCTTGCGGCAGAGCTTGCTGGCCGCGCATCGGGCCCAGGCCACGGCCTGTGGCCTCCTGCCTTCTAAGGATTCCAAGGCCATGGCCAAGCAGAAGAAGCGATGTGCAGGAGCAAGCCCCAACTCGGCGCTGAATCTGCTCCGGATCTTCCTTGAGTCCAAGGAGGAAGAGCTGGCCATGGACGTGGTAGCAGAGTTTCTGTCCAGGGAGAGCAGCAAGGCCTCGGAGCTGGAGGAGGCCAAGGCCGCCGCGTCGGCAGCCAAGCTCGAGAACCTCGCGGCCCAGCTCGCAAAGCTCGCCCAGCTTGCGAGCGGGCAACCCGCCCTCAAGGCCCGAAAGCTCTGAAAGCTCTGAGCCATAGGACAAAGGGGTTTGGCAAACGGTTTGCCATGAGTGTACAGGAGTCGTCACGCGTCCGTTTTCAGGGGAGGGGTGAGGCGCTGACTCCCGAGCCGAAAAGAAAGCGGCATGTTGAGCAGGCTCATCGCAGCCCAAGTTCTGTTACCGTGTGGCCCGTTGTGCAGGGGAAGGGGGCGCCCTGGGCGGGTGTGTCAGGTGCATCCAGAAGTCTCCCAACTTTCCTGGCCCCCGCGCTCTGAAAGCCTGATTCTTGTGCTGGTTGTGGTGGTAAGTCATTATTGCATCATGTCGCATGAGACCCAACGTCAGGCTGGAGGTGTTACAGCAACCTGCACTTGACTCGTGCTTTGCATTGCCCCAGGGAGCACTTGGAACCATCGGTCATGGTTCGTGCATTACTCGTGCGTCACTTCGTACACACCCAACTCCAACCGACATTCCTGGCTTCTACCGGCCTTGTTTAGAAGTGGACAGTAGTCCTCGGTTTCGCACGAAGTGCAGATCAGATGTTTCCTCCGCAGCTGGGCTCAATGGCCGGCAAGTCACTGACTCACGCAGTCCTCTAGTCCGAACCTTCAATTAACCAGAGGCCGTAATTAGCCATCGGAAGTTCATAGGGTCTACCCAATTTGGTCACAAGGCCAGACAACGAACTCCAGAAGCCATGACCTTGGCGCTTCCGGGCCAGGAGCATGTGCCAAAATGGTACGGGTCTCACTCCCGGCCCCATGTCTCACGTCCCCCGGATTGCAACTTGAGGCTGCTGGACGACCTCAAGAAGCAGCCCAAAAGCACCACCAACACCAGCTGCGAACTGCGGGTGATGGGAACTGACGAGGACAGGCTGCCACCTGCGACTTGATCTTGGAGCTTTGCGAGCAGCTTGATAATGTGTGCTTAGAGCGGACATCTACATGTTGTTTAATTCCGAGTTTCATATCCAAAGCCCTGAAACATCCTGAAACCCCGAGACATTTTGGCTCAAGAACTTGGTAGGGAAGCGGAAGACAGAAAGTGCCAAGCATGTTGCGATTGGGGCAGCGGACTTTGCAGAGGCTTAGCCGCCGCAGCGCCACGAAAGCAGTCCGTGGGCTGATTGTGGCTTCAAGACCCAAAGCCACGTTGGCCACAACGCACCAGGACATTCCGACGTTGCCACCACGGGTCTTCGACTACCCAGGCAAGACTGGAGCTTCGCGCAGCAACTGGGAAGAATGGATGGTCAACCTGCGCGGCGAGGACGCCTGGCTGGCCGGTCCTCGTGACCTCTCCTGGTATACCGGCCAACCGCCTATGCCAGGGCTTTGCCCGGAGTGTCGCCGGATGGGGCCATTCGGGCATTGCCCATGCCCCACCTGAACAGGCTTACCCGGAAGCAAGCGCAGGAGTACTTCGACATCTCCTGGACAATGCTCGAGGTGCTTTTCGCTGGCTTTCATGGCGAGGAGCCCTTCTACCGTCCTCCGGTGCATGGCATGCGGCATCCGCAATTCTTTTACTACGAACACACTCCCTGCTTTTGCGTCAATAAGCTGCGTGTGGCTGGAGTGCTGAAGGATGCAGTGGACCCATACATGGAGTCGATCATGGAGGTTGGACTCAACGAGATTCACGAGATGCTCTGAGATGACATGCACAAGAATGACATGGTCTGGCCGACTGTGAAAGAAGTCCAAGAGTACCGGAAGAAGGTCTACAAAATCGCGAGTGATGTCATTGCGAATCATCCCGATCTCGAGGACAACAACGGCACTACACCGGTGAAGATCACCTGGGATCACCCTTTGCGGTCCATCTTCACGGGCGCGGATCAGCCAGTTGATGCAATCCTCTATGTTAAACTCCATCAAAGCCGAAGGAATGAGTCCGGCATACAAGGGGACGTCTCTCCCTACCAGCATGTGCTTTTCGAAACGAGCTGTTGCTGCAGCGGCAGTGGAATGCTGGTGGGTTTCTCAGGGTTTGTAGGGATTGTAGGGTTTAGGACTTGGAGTGAGGATGCGGGGCTGCAGATGCAAGTCAGAGGTGCGTGCCATGCGATGCAGCAAAGAATGGACACGTGGGCTAACTGCCAAGAAGGTTGGTGTGCGACATAGGCGCGGGCAGTAACCAGTTTGTCTAGTTCTTTGACAAAGTTTTCTGGCATTTTGTGGCCTTTCGTTCTCGTCTAGTGCCAGTTCTCGCGCTCGTCGGGCTGCACCAAATACTGCTCGTTCTCCTGGATTGTCTTCTGCCGCTGCTCGCGACAGCTGACCCGGTCGAAGATGCCAATGGCATCTTCGATTGGGTCAGCTGTCTGCGCTGGGACAGCTCTTGTCATCCTGCTTCGCCAGCCGAGCAGCCATGTCTTTATTGTCGTCAGCCGCAACGGCGGCACTGTCTGCAGGCACGCCAAGGACTACGCCAGCGCAAGCAAGCGCTGGCTTGCGCGCAGCCATTATTGGTCTAGCGCCCAGAGTCCAGCGTGCTATTTCAGACGAATGAGCAAACAGCATGTGGCCGACGCCCACCGCACTGGACGCCTCTTCAATGCTCTGAGACGCCAGCAAGTGCCGATGTGCTGGGTTCACTGGTGGTCAGAGGAGTCCATGTCAGGAACGGCTACCGTAGCAGCTAGCCCTAGCGTCAGTGATTCCGTAAGCCGGAGCATGAGCAAGTCGTGATGCAGATTTTCAATTTGCAGAGGCTGATCGGGATGACCAAGGAGTCTAGAGTCTAGATGTGTGATTAACGATGGCAGGCCCGCGCAATGTGTTCCGGTAGATCTTATGCACGGGCACATTGTGCAGACTCCTGCATCGCCAAACTGTTGGGCGACAGCGTCCGTCCGCAGTGCCAGATGCAGATGCACATAGACATTCAAAGGTATGTTGGCCCGAGACAACGTCCATACACGCATTTGTTGTAAATTGTTCTCGTTGGGCGTTGCTCAGAGCAATGCGCAGGTCATGACGTGCCCCGTGAAGCAGAGTACTTCGGCCCGCGACTTGATGAGTTGGAATAGGCAGAGAGAGACGTGGAGCGTGCCTTGGCCTTGGGGAGGTCCTGGAGATCAAGATGTTCTTGGCCATGAAGCCGAAAGCTCGGTAGTGCTAGTGCTCGCCGAAACAGCGTTGAGAAGCTTTGTGACATGTTCTGGGCCTGGTCCCCTCAGCAGGCTGGGCATCGATCCTGGCGTCATGAGCGTGGTCACGAAGCAGGTGCCTGCCGCTGCGGGATGTGTGAGGACTTCCGGGGGCGGTTGGGGCCTCGTGCAGGGCTGCTCCTGGCGTATCCAAACCGATTCTGAGGACACGAGCGAATGTCTGCAAAAGCGGGGTTTGATGATGGACTTGTCTTCGTGCAGTTGTACTCGAAGGAAATAGCTCGGAAAGTGATGGTCAAGGGCATCAAGTCCTTCAAGCGCGAAAGACACAAATGGCCGAGCGCTGAGAGCTCTTGAGAGAATCCCGCTTCGAACAACCGCTTCCTGGTGTTCGCTCATTTCGCCAGGCCCAGCCCGATCGCCATCATCGGCACCGGCCACGCGGGACTGCGCCAGGCGCCGCGGAGCATCGCGGAGCATCGCGGAGCCGGAGTTCTACTTCTGCTTCTGCAGTGCTTCTGCTTCCGCTGCAGCCGGGAGAGGCGATGTTCTTCTTGAAGAACAAGGAATACAACTTCATCGTCTACGACCGGAAGGCACGTTTTCAATGTAGAAGCAAAAAGTGGCCCAGCTTCAAGTGCAGAGGCCCTGGTTGGAGGGACCTCCTGGATCGACCAGGCTCCGAACTACTCCGGCTTGTGTTCCTTTGGAAAGGCCAACCTTTGCCCGACTTGGGGAGGCCAACACGACATCCAAGCTTCAAACGGAGCTCGGGACGTACCATCTCCAATACGACGAGGCTGACACCCGCAAAGCCAGCCCAGCAGCTGAGCCACGAGGGAGCCGCAGAGTGAGGACAATCCTGTTCCCAAGAACATGAGCACTTGGCCCTCGACGGCTGAGCTCTTGCCGCTTGGTCCGAATTCAATACATTCAGGATCTGTCAGTCGCAGGTTTCATTCTGGTCGTTCTGGTGATTTGGCGGAGACTTCATGCTGGTGACACTGAGGCAACACTTCCGGGAAGTGTCCGAGGAGTACGGAATCATGCCGTCAGGGCCTCAAGAAAGTGGGGCTCATAGCTCGCACGATATCACACGAAAGGCCCCCAAGGGCCTGCCCCCCGCATGCCATAAGGTATTGCAAGATGTGCACCAACATCAAGGAGATAAAGATCAAAACTGGCACGAAGCAGGAGGTGCAGGCGGAATCCCGGCTGAAAAAGCCTCGGACTGGGACTTCAGGTTTTCGGGTCGCCGAGGCTTTTGCGGTTTTGGATTTGAGGGTGCTCTCCTCCCCAGACCTCGTTGCGAAGCCCAGGAGATGGCGCAGAGGGGCTGGTGAGCCGGCGGAGTTTTCAGATTTTTTCAGCATGACAGCTTTCCTTGCACCTTCGTTTGAGGGGCAAAAGGAGTTTGGGCGCTTCAGGGCCTGGTAGCAGGGCATATCTCGGCATAACGCTCTTAACATGAGCAAATGTGCTGTGGGCCAGGGCGACGCAAACCTACACCCTCACCCTGGAGCCGACCGACGGCACAGGCCAGGACTGGGCTGCGAACTGACCCCACCGGCGTCGTCAGAGATGCCCAGGCGATGGCCGGGGTGACAACATTGGCGCAACAGGCGCCCCTTGCGAGGATGCCGCATACCCAGCCCGTCTGTGTTCTGATGACTGCCATTCCACGCCTTGCTCAGGTGGATCACAGCGCGGTGATCATGTATCCTGGGAACCTCACAATCCCAAAGCGGTGTGAGCTTCCCGGAGAGGCCTGGATCCACCTCGCTCTGCTGACACTTGTTTGCAGACTGCAGAGGACACCTTTGAGGGTGAGGTCTCCTATGCCATCATGAATGACTTTGCTGCTCGGTCCAACTTTGACAGGCCTCAGTCTATGGGATTG